TTTCTAGAGAAAATTTCGTTAAAGACAAGTCTGTTACAAAAAGGTTCGACTTGTTAAGAATTTATTTATCAATATTAAAACAATAAAAACAATTAATTTATTATTTTTCACTCTTAGAAAAATATACATTGAAAACCACATGTAATGGATTTTTAGGAAAGAAAAAATATAAAATGAAATTAAAATTAAAAAAATACAACAAAAATAAATAAACCAGTTAATATGTAATTAACTTAGTCCATATGGCAAACAAGCAACAAAATAAATCTAATTTGAATATTTTTTGGAACATTAAAAAATGTGCATTTATATTACGACACCTTCTAAGGGGAGACAAACTGCATTTTAGAAATATACACACACACCCAAAAAGAGACAAAAACCAAAACTTGTCTCAAAATAAAATATGGTGAACAACATCCAAATCTGGTTTAAAAATAAAATAAATTTCGAAAAGATTTATTACAATTCAAATATTAAATTATATAGAAAGTCTCGTAAACAAGAAATTATTTCCAAATTGAAATGAAATTGTCTGAGACGAAATATTAGAAAAAAAAAAAAAAACAATGAAATGTTTAAGCAATTCCATTAGAATTAATAAATTGTAATAAAACAAATAGCCTGTCGTTCGTTCGGTTGCCCAGTCGTTCAATTGTTAATAATTAATAATTGAAAGTAATGACGTTAGACGAGTGTGTGCACAATTTGTCTTTTTTTTTCTTCTTCGAAAATTGTTTTATGGAATGTTTTACAAGAGCTGGTATGGCAGCAATTTACAAATTGTTTGTCATTACTGCCCTGCATGATGTTATTTAAACTATATCAACAAAAAAAAAACAAAACATTTCAATTTACAATTTCTTGCAATTTTTGAAAACGTGCTTCCTTGAGTTTTATTATTATTTTTTTTTTTTGAGACTGATCAGTAATATTCTCATTTTTTATAAAATTAAAACCATTAAAACTCTGTATGTATTTAAGGATTGCACTTTTGGTGACTAATTCATAACACTATACAACAAGATTTTTGGGGGGTATAAGTAATTTTCATTGTTTATATTAAATGGTTTATATTATTAAATTTTCATTCAGTTGCTAAAATTTGTTTAAACAAAATGAAAAAAACTCAAAACATGTACCTATGGAAAATTCGCCTTAATATACTCTCCACGGCCTCCGTAACCGTAAAGATCTTTTAACCGCAAAATCTTGTTGCACTGTGTTGTAATTGACTGATTGATAATCAACGTTCAGACGAAACCATCTTCAATCTTGAAATGTGGCTCTTAGTCCGAAGGTGTCAGATAAGGCTGGGTTTTGGAGTCTAGGATAAGGTTCTTTGTAAATTCCAATTTTTGTACATTTTTGCAGAATGTGAAAGAATAGAGCTAAAAACTTAAAATTTGAAAGGCGAATAAAGTTTGAGAAGAAGGGTCGATATAAGGATTGTTTTTGGAAGTGTGTACTCATGTATACAAAAAGTACTAAACAGTACTAAATTTGGTACAATTTGAATTTTGAGAAAATTATGGAGCTGGAATATTGTAATTTGAGGTATGTGGTATGTTTTGGGAATTTCTACTAATGTGTACTAAATTTGGTACAATTTGAATTTGGGTCAACCAATAGGGATTGGGAAATAAGATTTCTATGGGATTGTATGATGTAGGTATAATAGAAATTTGTACATATGTGCATTAAATGGTACTAAAATTGATAAATTTTGGATTTAGGTTGAACCTACAAAGCTGATATCCCGAACGAGTGTAGAATTAAATTATGTAGAAAACTCTGCAAATTCGTAGTTATATTGATAAAATGTTACTAAATTTGGTACAATTTGGATTTGGATGAACCTGAAATTAGACAAAATTATGTCTGTTAGATTGTTGAGGAACGTGCTTTTGGAAATTTTTCTTAATGTGTAATAAATTATACTAAATTTGGTACAATTTGGATTAACGTTAACCGATCGGGCTGGAATCCTGAAATTGGAAAATATGATTCCAATTGCATTTTGAGGATGGATACCTATGGAAATTTATATTAATGTGTACTAAATGGCGCTAAATTTGGTAACAATTTGGATTTAGGTGAACCCATAGAGCTCGAATAATAAAATGTGGAATTCGTTTTGGAATTCAGTACTACATGAAAAATTTCGATCCTAACATTTTTACATCAAAATACCTTCCTTCACGCAAAATATTAAAAATACTGAAAATCGATAGGTATCATTATATGGGGGCTAGACTTAAATGTGAAGGTAGAATGATTACAACAGATGGTTATATGAGGACAACTCCTGAAAGTGGGCGAATATAAAAATAATTTTTGAGAGGGTTACCAAATACGACTGCAAAATACCAAATTACAATAAATTCGTTTGATAAACCCACTTAAAATCCACAATATACCGAAAATTCGGAGGTACTGTTATATGGGGGCTACCCGACAAAAAATCGACCTATATTTATAATTTTTAGTGGGGATATTTGGTATCCAATAAGATCGCAAAGTGACAAATTACAAGGAATTTGGTACCGGTATATGGAAACTTCCAGAAAAATTGGACTCTATTTATCATTTTCAGTTTTTTCTATTTTCTATTTTTCATTTCAAAATTCGGGGGTACCCTTATATGGGAGCTATACCAAAACGTGGACCGATAGCTTTGCAAAATTTGCTGATATAGGTCCCATTTTTCATTGCCGAAATTTTTGTTATTGACGTTCAGTTTTTGATAAGAAAATATGAATGAAACATTCCTCCCTTATTTCCCTCCGAAGTCAGCTTTCCAAGTGGACCGTAACCCACTCTGGAGCGTGAAAACCCAAAAAATCTTTCATGAAGAACGAAATCACATGGCAAAAATCATGAATTGATGTTCGAACTGCTTCCTAATCCTAGTTCCAACGACAATTTTCTTTCCACAGATCGCAAAAAACACAAATATATTTTTTGCGAATTAAAAGGCGCTCGAAAGTCAAGACTATATTTCCGTCAAATTCATAATATACCCGGCAATTGATAACCTATATCAACCTGTAAACTGATAAGTAGAAAAATATAACCTTTATTACAATTGAGTACATTGCAAATTGATTTTAGTGGCATTTTTCTTATATAAAAACATAGGTTCAATTCTGACCAATTAAATATATTATGCAATAATAAAATATATATTTGTAACAATTTTATAAAACAAATTGCAAGCTAAGTCCATGAGAAACCCGAACTCAAGTACTAATCGTGTAAGTAGAAGCCCAATACTCGCAATAAAGTAAAAGGAGAAAAAAAACTTCAGTGACAATTGAAACTTCATAAAAGAGAAGATCAGCTATTTATACTTCAGCAGAAGGTGGCTAAATTTTAGCAATGTCGCAAAATGTATTTTCTTAAAGACATTTGAAGAAGCTAGTGAAAAAAAGATCGGAAATCACTTACGGAATTGAATTCATTCAGATCCGAAACTTGTGACAGGAGTTGGGCCGTTCTGGAACGAACTAGTTCATTGGAACTATTTCGATACAAGAACGCTAGGAACTAGGTCCAGTTCTTCACTTCCAATAGTTATTTTTTCTGATCTAGTTCCTATTAAAGATGTACATCAATAGAATGTTGCTGTATAAATGGCAAAGAATTTGCTCTATTTTATTAGAGTTAAACTTCTAAATATAAAATTATTTAAAACAACAAACATTTATTGTCAACTTGTTTACCTTTTTGGTCCATCAACAATAGAAAGAGTCAGATTCGAAAGAACTATCTGGGTGTTGAACTATATGGAGCAAATGAACTATATAAAGGAACTAATTCCTTTCTAAAAAAAAACGGGAAAGATACTCGTAGTTCCGCACCGTGAACTAGATTTCCCAACTCGTAATGCGTATTTTGTACTGTGGGTTCAATGCTGTTCAATAAATCAAATATTTTGTCGATAAGATTTAGCTGTCAAAAATGTTTAGCATTTGGTCTCCTCTTGGACTTTTGAAATATTCAAAAATTTTTAACACGTTTTGAAACAAATATTTTAATTGTGTCTTCGATAATTTACTAAATACTGTCGCTCCCATGCTGATCGGAATGAATTGGTTCAAATTAACTATTCCGTAATTGGAACTATCAGTATTAGGTTCGATTCCTTCGTTTTTTTTTTACGAAATTGGAATGATTTGACTTCCTGTTTGGTTTTTAAGATATTAAAAAATTTAAATAGGCTGGGAAAATATATATGAATTGCGTCTTTGATATTTTACCAAATACCGCCGCTGTCAACCTAATAAAGCAGATCGGTACGAACTAGTTCAAAATAACTATTCCTTAAGGTGCTAGGTCCGGTTCATTTTGCTGACGTCGTTCCTTTTTACTCCCGTTCACATAATTGCTTTGATCCGAAAAAAGACTTTGGTGTGGAAATTCGTGGTATTTATTTTCCTCCTGTCTGGCTTTTAAAATATTCACAAATTTAACACGCTTTAAAAAATAATTTTAGTTGCAGTTTTAGTATTTCTACTGCCTCTTCCGACTTTAGTATTCCTGGGTCATTACAAAATAAACTTGTTCAAAATAACTATTCCGAAAAAGGATGGTCAGTACCAGGTTTGGTGTTTCATTCATCTAGTTCACTTTTCTCCAGTCGGTCCTTTTCGTTCTCATTCACTTAATTCCTTTTGATCCAGTAGCTCTTCTAGATCGTTTCGTTCAATAAATGAATTAACTGACGCATACGAATGAACGATTGAACTAAAATGAACAATGGAACTAAATGAATGACCTAGTTCCTTTTGCGAAGCGACCCGAAAAAGAGATCGAATCGTTACAGGTATGAGATAACCCAATACTTAGACTTTAGTAAGGGTTCGCATTTATATTTTGACATTCTTCTCATTTTTTGATAAGTTATTTGTTCACTGTGTTCTCATAATAGATTCTATTTCGAGATTTGCATCTAACCATAACTAAAATATTTTAAAATTTATAATTATCGTACTCACCTTTCGTGTTCTGATCATTTTGGCGAGATCGACAGCGGGTATTTCCAATAGATGCGATTTGATGGGCGGCAGTTTTTTTCGATTCACTTTGATGTTGGTGAATCGGCTATAGGGTACAACGAACCAACTGAACACGATCATAGCCGTACGCAGAAAGCGCCGCATTATGTACCCCATAATTCTGGAACACAGTAGGACAGCAATTTTGGCGGTTTTTTTGGTAACGTGGGGGCAAAGAAAAAAATTAAATAAAACAGTGGTTTTAGGTGGTGGAGCACACAAGAAAATCAAGCTACCAAAAGCCTAAGGAAGTGGTAGCTTGTTGAGGAAGAAAAACTGGGTCAAATGTGTGTGTTTGTTGTTAAAAGAAAAATATTTATTGATATTTTATTTTTATTTTGTGTTTTTTATTATTTCTTTGTTTTGTGTTAGGCTTCGTTGAGAAAATTCGTCATGCAACTTCTTCTTATGTTGGGCGCCACTTTGTGGTGAGGAGGGGTTTTTTGCTGTTGTTTGTTGATTTTTGTTTCTAATGTTGTTTGTTTTGTTGTGGGGTTTAGCTTCTGTAACCACTATACACCACTACGTTGGGTTGGTTTGGTTAAAACCCATAGCCATTGTGGCTAATAAAGCCACGTTTAGACGAAGTAAACCAATTTTATTCTCCAATTTGGTAAAATGTGATGGAACCAGCTGTGAGTAAAGTGGTCACCACCACGAGCAAGAGCAATGAAAAAGATGCAAAGGCGGCCTTATTGTCACCTATTGAGGCATTCGACTGTCTGTCAAAAATATGTTCACGCTGATCGAATGCTTTGCTTTAGGTCTCCTGCGTAAGTTTGTATTTGCAAAACCACAAGAGATTGTGCAATATTTGTGTTTCGTTTTTGGGGGGGCTACAGCTGGTGGTAAAACCACTTAAGAGATGATGGCTGACTGACTGGCGAACTGACTGATTGGCTGACCACTTGCAGCAATCCACCTTTTTTAGGAGTAGCAAAGGGGGAAGAGAGGATGTTGTGCCAATATTACTTGATGGCCGGAAGGGGCCGTTTGTGGAGAGCACCTTTAATGGTATTGATGGCGAGAAGGTTGCACAATATGCGTGTGTGTGTTATTTGCACTGCTGAACTGCAATGGCTGGCCCCCAAGCCGATCACAGCTTGGTTTGGTGGTGGGCAATTAAGTGGCAGCAGCAACGACGACGATGACGGCTATGATGACCACCAACACTTTGCACATGCGCATAGTTTTATAACCGAAACCAGGTGTGTCCAACCTTAAGACACAGAATCACGAACCGATACTTTCGACGAAGATTTTTCGTACTCTACACACGAAGTTCGAACGATTTATTAAATGTTTGTCCAGATGTAAACGGCGATGATGATTATGGTTGTGGCAGGTTTTTTCTTGTTGTTGTTGTTGTGGAGGCAACGTTCGAAAAGTAGGTTTGCCGCACAGGCTTAAATCGCACATACACACAAACACTGATTATTTTGTTTTTGGTATTTTGTTGTGCCTCTTGCCACGAAAAAAAGCAAAATTTTTATTATTTTTGTTTTGGCCATTCAATTATCATTCTCTTCTCTGTGTGTTTCGTTTCGATGTTGAACTTTTGCAAGAAGAAATCCAAAAACGAAAAATGTAATGGCCAACGATTCTTTTAGCAACACTCCATAAAAAATTATGTAATTTTTTTGGGTTAATCTTTCAATACAGCAACACAATTTACAAAATTTATTTCAAAATTTAATTTCAGAAATTTTTTAATATTTAATATTTTTGTGCACTATAAGCTTTTATTTAATTTCCCCCAATTCAAGGGGGAAAGAAATTTCGGGAATTTTATTATGGTTTGAAATTTTTGAAAATAACAATTTCAATATTTTTTATTTAAATATTCACAATTCGAAATTCTCTTCAAAAAATATTTTTATAAATTCGATTTGATCATGTATTTCCACTTCAAATAAATATTTAAAAATTTTCATTTTCAAAATTATTTTTCTTTGTTTGATGATTTTTCACATTGGCTGACAATCAAGCGAACGCTGTAATGCTTTAAAAAAGCCACACTACAAATTCAAATCGATCTTGGCTTGGAATTTTGTTGTTTTGTTTTATGTTATTTATATTTTTTAGTAGCTTTAACTAAAATCCACAAGAAGAAAAAACGTTTTACCGCACCACGATCACGACAATGACGACAACGAACGACAGATAACAAGTAGTATTCAATGCACAACCTCCGCTGAGCAAATAGTTTCTTAAGCCATACTTACAAAGTTATTTAAACAAAATTTCAATTTGAAAAATTGTTGGATTTCAAAAAACAAAACAACACACACAGAATGTCGTTTTCTTTCTGGTTGCAGTTTGATGCTCTTTCTCTCGCTCTTAGTGTTTTGAAACTCTCTTTATTATATTGTTTGGGTTTTTTTTTACGTTGGATCAGACAACCAAAAAAGGGTTACCAATTAATTACAAAATGTTCAGTGAGGCTGGATTTTTAGGCTGTCATCAACGTTTGTTGAATGGCTGCCAAATTGGTTTGGGAAACACAATTGAAAAAATATTTTTTTTGTTTGTTCCTCAATCGTTCAAAAATCGCGCCAAATATAATATTGAAAATTTGTCGAAGACCCCTTTACGTTTTATGAGGAGTAGCGCAACGAACTAGTTCAAAGAAACTATTCCCCATAAGGAACGATCGGTACTATGATAACAAAAATAACTTAATGAACGAATGTGCCGTTCATTAAGTTATTTATGCTCCATTCGTTCATTTTTGCTCTCTTTCACCCAGTTTCGTAGGATCCAATCATTCATCTATATTTTTTTGTTCATTGTCGAATTAATTTACGATTGAACGAATGATTGAACAAAAATGAACTATAGAACTAATCGAAAATGACCTAATTCCTTTGCGTAGCGATTCAGGAACAAGATAACCTAACATTAAAGTCCGAAACGATTCCATGTCAGTTTAGACATACCCATCTGTTGAAATTGCGATAGAGTCCGGGATATTTAAAATAGATTAAAATAATGTTGGGTATTAAAAATGAGATTTATGGCCAATATTCTAAATTGTTGAAATATTTTGAAATTTTTTTTCATTGAGGGTAAAATCTTTCTACCAAAAATAATAAATATTGGTACAGTTTTTATATAGCATCCATTTGGGGAGTTTGGACACGTTTTTCAAACAAATTGATGTTACTTTTATATTTTGAATTCTCATTGGATGGAAACTAATCAATATTGGCCCAAGTTTCGAGGTAGCCCAATTATAATGGCACCCCTATTATTATCTATTTTGGTTTGGTTTTGGACTCGTTTTTCAAACGAATTACCGTATATGGGCAATATTGCCAATTTTTTAATATTCCATTTTCAAAAACTCAGCCTTTTGGTTTTTGTGGCACATCAATGATTTTTGGTACACATATAGAGAAAAATGTTCTGACTCCGAAACCGTTCGCGATCAAATTTTTGTTTGATGCGCGCAAAAGTTATCGAGGTTTTAATTTTGGGCATAAGAAAAAAATCTTAAAATTACGCCGTTTATTATATTGACCAAAAACGTTGATATATATCTTCCTCCCAAAAATAAGAATATGAATATATTATAATAACCACGATAAAGTTGCACATATTCGCGAAATATGAGAAAAATAAAAAAAATATAGCAGATTACATCAATATTTTCATTATATTAATGACATACACACACCAAAAAATTAATTTAAAAATATCCACATAATCTAAACACGATGGTGAATCAAATGATATCAAAATCACACAAGTCCGTGTAGCGGTTTGTAAATTACAGCGACAACAAAACAACATACTGAGGAAAAATATTTGTTTTTGGTTCGAAAAAATAATGTCATCATATTTATTTTTTTAATTGTATACAAGAAATTTCAGAAAAAAATGTTGGTGTTATTCTGCTATTTTACCCGAATTTCGCCGAAAAATTTACATATATAATAATAATCACCTTTTGTGTATAAGTATACGCCTTGCGGATTATATCAGGACGCTTCCGATAAATCTTAGAACTCTATAAATAGGAATAAATCTTACAATAAAATAATATTATGAAATATACATTTTAAATTGCGTGTAAATCGCGTAATTCTCAAAATCATTTGATGCGCATGCGGTTTCCAGGAAGTACATATATATTTTGCGACATTTCATTTGACGGCTAAGATGTGCCGCACGTTACATTGAAGTACCCAAAAAATCGTAAAACGCGAATAATTTCCGAAAACTCCATATGCCATTAATGCGCATCCGATTTCGGTGTGCACCCTAAATAAACACATCGATCTATACCGATTTCAATGTGGTCCATTAAGAACCATGGATGTGCCAGCTCACACTATTTTTGAGATAAATTGCGTCTAAATCGCGTAATTCTCAAAATCATTTGATGCGCATGCGGTTTCCAGGAAGTACTGAATTTTATCTTCCAATCCATATATATTTTGCGACATTTCATTTGACGGCTAAGATGTGCCGCACGTTACATTGAAGTACCCAAAAAATCGTAAAACGCGAATAATTTCCGAAAATTCCATATGCCATTAACGCGCATCCGATTTCGGTGTGCACCCTAAAAAAATACATCGATCTATACCATTTCAATGTGGTCCATTAAGAACCATGGATGTGCCAGCACAATCTATTTCTGAGATAAATTGCGTACATCTCTCTTTCGGCTGAATTTTTTAAGTTCTCTTTTCGAAAAAGATCAAAATCCGTATGAGGTCATTTATTGAAGCGGAAATGATACACAGAAAACGCAAATAAATCCGCGATATTTTCAAAAACATTTTTTGCCAAATTTCGTGTTTTTGGAAGGTCAGTTCCCGCCGTTCTAGTAGATGGATTTTCACGAAAAAGATTTTATATCATCCGAAACGTAAAAAACCTTATTGATCGCGGGTACCCATATCATTCAGTTGACAGGTCTAAAAATTTGGCCCGAAAAATAGGTTTTTTAGAAATTTGATCGCACAAATTTCGCACCTTCGGATGAATATTACTCTGAAGCTGTGCATACTACATACACAAAATACATATCAAATTACGCAGATTCGCGACTACAATAATCTTATAATGGATTTTTAGAAATTCCTGTTTGCGTATTAAAGCTAGAAGTAA